TTGGAATAACACAATTATGCTATAGTAGAACAGTTCTCTAACTACACATACCAAACACACACACATTAGATATCAAAGGTGCAAAGAGTAACAGCAATAAGCACTTGAGGAAGATAATAATCCATGCTCATGCAAGGTCCTTCAGCTGCTATTTGGAACTCAGGTCAGCAATTACCTTGTACAAACAGGGACAGATGTCAAAGCTCCTGCATTACATGAAGCAACAAAAAAAGGACAAGGGGCTGCAAACATCATCTTAGTGTGCTTCCTATCACAGGGCAGGGCAATTTAATTGTGTTTTGTACAATAATGAAACAAGAGAAAGTGGAATGTAATCACTTTTGTGTATTTACTTGATCTGAAAGGTAAGAACCACACCCCCAAGTAGACACAACAGCTGCAATGGCATCGAACATCACTTGTGAAATAACAGGTGCAGGCACAACACAATTGGAAATGCATTAAGCAGCATCACACAGCCAGTAATTTCAATCAGGAATAGGTTTGCAGAAGTGAGTGACTACGAGGTGCATCAGCTGTATGGAGGAAAAGTAAACAATAAGTTTAGGACATCACATAATTTTAAAGGGCTTTTAATTTACTCACAGATGTAGAAATAAATGGATATGACAGTCACTAAAGATAGCAATGAGTAGAGCACCAATTTGTAACTACAGGGATGATCTGGAAGAAAATGGGGGGGTTGATACCTATCACATAATGTTCACTAATTTTTGTCTTCAGCTCTATGAACTTTTCAAAACAGCTTGGATAAGGGCCTCCATCTTTCAGGCATAGAACCAGCCCAACCAGACAGAGCAGTCATAGTTGTAAAAGTGAAGTTAAAAAAGGACAAGACAATCCATCATCACACAAAATACAGTTTTTAGGTGCTTTGAGGATAGCTTTCATATTTTTTAAACTTTCAAAATGAACCACTTCTCATTGCACTTTTGTAGCCAAAAGCCCCTGCCTTCTAACATGCACCCTTTTAAATTTATTAATTTCAATTACTATTCCGAGTGCTGATCAATAAAACTGGAATCCAGGCAGGGTAAATTTCTGCCTGCTTTTTTTAAGGTGCTAGAAAGCAAATCAACAGACTTGCAGAGAGCCTCTCATATGTCTCAGCATTAGCTGGCAAGTTTACAATGACATGGAGGTTTCAGGAATACAAGCTAAATACACACAGTACATCTCTGGCATAAGGTAAAAAATTGTGGTGCTTATCTAGGCAGTGTTAGCTGATACCACTGCTGGGGCTGATTCAAGACAATTTACAACAGTTTATGGGCACGAGCTATATTAGTAAGAAGAGTTGGAATTGCAACACTGGGCACAGAAAGAGGTATTCACAGAGATTAAATTTAGCTGATCCTCATTCCCAGCTCCTTCTGTAGTCTGGAAATGTAAGCTTCTCTAGAAGGCAGCTCAGAGCACGAGCTGAAGTTAGGCTCGAGTTACAGGAGAGGCAGACAGCTAATTTAGTGTTCCCTAGCCACAACCCAGTGTCCTTGTGCCTGCTCACGCTGCTTCCTGAGCTGCCTCTGGTGTTTGCTGGGCACTTCACTGAACCCAGCTGGTTGGCTGATGGACAGCAAGCTACTTCAAGGAAATAAAAGTGATAGTCTTCCACTGCTTTAATGAGCTGAACTGGCTCAGGAAGAGACTGGCTCAAGGCTGACTTGTAAAACTGAGGAACAGTTCATGAGGAACAGTTTCCATGTCTTAATTTCTTTGCTTAAAAGAGAGGAGAATCAATAACAAAAGTGATGGTACTTAGATGGAGCCAGACATAAAACAACATCTTCTGATCTGGTTTGACCCAGCTTTGGAGCAGTGAGTTTGCATTGTAATCCTCCAGATTACACTGCTGAATTTCAGCCAGGAAGCATTTCACCAGCTCTTCTTTCAGTATATAGTCATGATGTGTGCTAAAGAAAACAACAGCTCCTGACAAAAATTAAAAGGAATAAGAGAAATTATAAGTGTGCACCTGTTAGATCCAGATCAAAGATATTTGTTACAGTCATCATGTAAAGTTCATGGCTCACTTTGCTTTGCCTACAGCATTACAAACCAAAGTGGAAGCTTGACTGGTTGAATAACTGGGATATGTTTTATAGTCTGATGGAGAAGGCTCAAAATGTGTCCATGGATATCTCTCATCTACAAGTACCCAGTGGGTTCAGCACAAAGAGTGTCCTTCCTAGCCTTCACATGGGACTTGGCTGTAGCAATGGGGCCAAACATCCCTCAGTACTGAGAAACACGTTAAATAATGCTTGCTGGAAGCTTGGTTGTGTCCACAGTGTTTTCCATAAAGCTTGCCCTGTGAAAGGCAGAGTGGGAAGGGTCCAGAGTGCAATATGGCAAAGGTTAGCTCAGGTGTCAATGGATGCTTCCCAAACAGGAGGGCAGTCAGTCAGCCTTGACCCTTAACATCAGCAATCTGCTTCAAAGGCAGTGCTGGAAGCCTGTGACTCTACCAGGGAGCACAAGCAGAGGTTTATGTAATACATGTAAAAATGCATTTGGTCTGTCTTCAGAATTACGATAATTTTTAATAAGGTAAATTGTAGGATCATGCAAGGGAATGTCTAGGTGGAAGGGATTGGGTAGATGAATCTGCTCCTTAGCAAAATCAGTGTAAACAGTACCCAGACATGGAGATTCAAATAGCATAGTACCTTCTCCAAGTACAACACACATAAAAGGAAACCGGGAATCAAATCCTAGAGAGGTAACGAGTCCTGCAGCTGTGGAACTACTTCAGAAGTCATTAAAGGGATTATATGTGTTCCTCCATGAAGCACTACTGAAAAACCTACTATAATACAATATATTGTTGTATTACAGCAGGTAATTATTACCTATTACCTAACTACTACTACAGTAATGCTACAGCACTACTATAGAAATTTTTGTACAAAGATTAATTGAGGTACTACACACCACTGTTGAGGCCGATATGCTACACTATGTGATTACAGGGGAGATTCCACTAATGTAAAAAACCTCTTCACCTTGAATATGGCCTTACATTTGTGTCTGGAGAGGTGTTAGGCTGACAAAGCCATTCATCAGACGTACAATGAAGAAAATCCATACATAAAAGTCTCAGGACTACTAAGTTTTCTGAACAGTTAAGCAGTTCAGAGAGAAGAAATCCAAATCCTCCTTACTATATGGAAATTCATCTACTGATAAAAATCACTGTCTGTATGTCATTTCAATTTTACATATTTTTGCTTCCTTGTGGAAGATCAATTTCTATTGATCCATGGACGGTGCATAAACTGGATTCTTATGGAGTAGGAAACGCTTCAAAATATTTCTTTGATAACTTAAAGATGAATTAGAAAGAACCTCTGACAAAAATGGTTTAGGATATTAATTTCTTTCTTCTTTTCCTTTAAGATACATTTCAGCAAGGGGATGACTGAGATCCTTTGGGACCTTCCCAGCAGTTACACTGGCACAGTGAGGAGAAGAGGGAACCAGGGTGCAAGGATATGAAGAGTCACTGAGGGCACAGGAGGGAGAGAAGTCCTTCCCAAGCCAGGTCCTTTGCCAGAGCCAGATGTGTGTATCATGGAAGTAGTTTGCCCCTTTTCTGTCTTATCACTTTATTTAGTAGCTGTTGTTTCTCCTGAACCTTTTAATGAGCCAGAGCTATCAATGTAGTCCAGTTCTTACATTCTTACCTAACTGTAAAATTGATAATCATTTGTTTCCTCTGGCACCAAAGATGTTCATTAAATGGGATCATCACATTTCACTCCTTCTGCATCATAATCCTCAAACTCGTGATGTGTTTGGTTTTTTTATTAACTGTGCTATAAAGCACTTAACTATTATGAGAGTGTTATCTATATGACACCGTCTAATCTTTAAACAAAAATTAAACAGAAAGTAGGCTTGCTGCCAAAAATAAGGAACTGTTCCTTCAAACAAAACCAGGGTAAAAGAAGCAAAGCTGCCACTCCAAGATAATTTTTATTTATTGTGTGATGTATTTTCCTTCGAATGGCAACATATTTGCCTTCAGATGGCAAATCCAGACGAATAAGAAGAGAATTAAAATATAGGTGGACCAGAATTTTAATTCAGCATCTGCCAGCATTGTGTATGATAGCACCCAATGATTTCTAGCAGATTAATTCAGTTCTCTGTATTTTACAAAGCTGGACAACTAATTCTTTTCCCAGCATTACAGCCATGTGAAATAATGCTTTGGGCATATCCGTCCTGAAGGCCAATGACCTGATCTACCATGTCTAACACAGTGAGAGATCACCTTTATCTTGTGTTCTCCTGCTACCAGGCTACATCTTATGTTATTGTGGTGTAATGGGTTCCTTCCCATTCCTAGTTTATATTCTTGATATTTGCTATCCTAGGAGTACAGATACCATCAGACCATGGCCATCAGACCATCAATGTTTTGCTTTGGGAAACAATCCCATCAATGGAGTTTTTCAAGTGAGATCTCTGTTTTTAATCAGATTTAACTATAGTTTTGGAAAAAAGAAACAGCAGGGAAATCCTATCTGCTTTCAAGTGTTTTGGGAAGATGATGGGACAGAGGCAAGTACTGAAGTATCTCAGATTTATGTAACTACACACTTTATATACAAACCAAAAGTTGAACGTGACTAAAATGTATGCACAAAAGATATGTTGTAATTGTATGAAGGTTACCAGGCAAATTTATTTAGACTGTGCCCCTTAACATTAGGGTTTGTTTTTCTGGAAAACTGCACTTCATCAAAAAATGCCAACGCTGCCAAACTACAGCTGAACTTTGAAACTGTGACCTGATGCCAGGAGACTTTCCGTGTGACCCTGGGGAGACCTTTTCACCTCTCTGTGCCTCAATCCTCCATCATCTGGAACAATAAGTAACTAAATAATTAAGAGCAGGAAAAGGGAATGATCTTTCTTCCACCCACTGTCCTGCTCCTATCTTGTCTATTTAGATTAAAAGGACCTTACTGAGGGGAGATTAAATACCCAGTGCTTTTAACACTTCATGTAAAATGAAGTCTGATCTAAGTGAGGGTCTAGGAGAGTTGTTGTAACATGTGGCAAATGGTCCAGTCTGCCTTTAAAAGCTATAAAATTTTGCAAATAGGAACGTGGCATTTTCCTCCCTATTTAATTACAAATGCTACTGTGATAATTGATTGTTGAATGCTCATAAGAAGAGATGGTCTTCATGTCCAAAGAAGATACAATGCAGTGAGGAATTTTGCAAGACAAGAACCTTTGCTTCTGGCTCAAGGATGAAAAATCCCTGCTCTGATCCTTCTCTAATCTCCCCAGAACCTTTTCATCTCCCTTCCTCCTTATTTTCTCAAAGTTCATCTGCCCATGCTCCCATTGTGATTATACAGGACAGATTTTCTCTACCCTTACATTTTGCTGTGTAATTATTATTTACCTCCAGCTCCCATTTCAGCTGTAACTCAAAGTGTTGAATTGATTTTCTTACAGTAAGCTGCTACCTGAAGTGTCATGTGGATGGCTTAACTCATTTCTTTCCCTCCAGGGGACCCTTTGCAATGTCAAACAATGTAAAGAAGCAAAGTAGGTCATGGTTAGATAGTAATTTAAAGTCAGCACGGATCTGTGCTGCTCCCCAGAAAGGCAGTTTCCTCCTTTACTCACCACCATGCTCACCACCTCCCTCATCCTGGCACCAGTGTTTGTCTGGCTGCCTGGTGGGCCAGAGGGAATTAATATTACTAACGTGGCAAAATACCTAGCGAAATACAATCGATAAGACTTTAAACTAGCCGCAGCAACAGAAAAAGAAAGGCCGTAGGCAGGCAAGGCCAGGCTCTCTGCCTTGTCACATTTAACTCAGTAACTTATTTGGGAGGACTCTGGAATCTACTGTTCTGTTTTCCCTCTTGTGAGACAGAGTTGATCATGTGTGCTGAGGAACCCAAAGCTTTCTGCTTTTTCCCCAGTGAAACTAAATGCGTATCATTCAGTGTTTTGCCTTTACAGTTAGAAAGAAGTAATATTACAGCATTAGAAGAAAACATTCTCGCTATTCTTCCCTACTTTGCTTGCGTTGGTCCTGCAGGGATTTCAAGAAATCACTTCCATCTCTGCTCAGCAGCAGTGGCACACCATATACCCAAAAATTTCAGTCTGTGTGTTCCATGGGTCCGGGGAAAAGAATCACAGAATTGCTAGGGTTGGAAGGGACCTCTGGAGATCACCCGGTCCAACCTCCAAAGGGTGTCATATCGTCTGATAACTGTCGCTCACAGTGCCACATGATGTGCTTATTATTTGTCGAGGCACAAAAGTCCAGTCACGCTCCAGGGGCTCATTCCGCAGGTCCCATATATTACCATTTTAAAGGGAAGCCCTACCGGGATAGGGTGAAATATGGGAGGAGTGCGACGTGGATGCGGCCGAAGCCAAGGGAAGGGGAGGAGGAGGAGGAGCGGCGGCGGCAGCTTTGCATCATCAGGTTACATTCCTTGTTGTCCTTGCCTCAGGTTACATCCCTTATTCGTGCCAAGGCATCTCCGCGTGGCTCCAGGCGGGATTCGTTCAACCACCGAAAGCTCAACGGGGGAGCCAGGCTAAGGGCACAGAATCAGAGAGGGCAGAAATCAGAGAGGGCACAAGAGACCACCCGCTGGAGCAACTGTGCCCCTGGAGAAGAGCAGGT